AAGGGAACTCAGGATGAAGGGCAAAGTCAATTGTATATAATTCTATAATCAGGGCTTTTGGATTGGAGTGTTGCAGGTTTTCAGTATTGATTAGAGATACTAACATCACGCTTCGATGACTCTGTATACCTTTTCCTCACACAGAACTCTAATTGTTTGGCTTTCCACAGGGCCATTTAGAAATACTCTACCATAAATTGAAAGAACACTTGAAAATGTAGCCAGAAAGGTAGAAAATAAATCTCAGATGGAGAATGTGGTGGGAGGTGAGAAAAAGTATCAAGCTATCATTAAAGCAGTGTTCTCACTTCTCAAGAGACAGAGTAAGTGGCTAATATATGGTCAAGGATAATAGAATTATATTGTCTCCCACAGCACCTAACACAAAGTGTAGTGTTTTAACAACAACCTCTTCATCTCATTGGTGAGACTGAGAGATAATCAACTTCTAAGGAAGAAAGATTTATTCTGGCTCAGCTTTTAGAGGTTTCATTTCATGGTGTGCAAATTTAGTTGCTTTGTGCCTATTGCAAGGCAGAACATCATGTCAGGGAGCATGTGATAGAGGACACTGCTCACCCTGCAGCTAAGAAGTTGAGAGAGAGAGAGAAATGGAAAGAGAGGGAGAAGCAGAAGGAGGGAGAGGGAGGAGGGGAAGTGAGGGAAAGGGAGGGAGGGAAGAGGGGGGAGAGACCTAGGTTTCAATATTTCTTTCAAGGTCACATCCCCCCAAATTTAATTTCCTTGTACTTTGCCCCACCTTCTAAAGGTTCCACCACCTGCCAGTAGCATCACAGGCTGGTGACCAGGCCTTTAGCACATGGCCTGTGGAGTACTGAGATCCAAACCATAATACTATGTTAAAGATTACTGGAATGTGTAAACCCAGGACACATGATAGAAGGAAGTTAAACACTACAGTTTATCAGTCACATATACTTACAGCTCTAAGGAAGAAGATATCCCACTACGCAGGACCACATGTAGGTTACATTAAGAAACAAAGAAATAACCATGGGCTGTGGGAGTCAGATACTGTGATAATATGGAGGAGAATGACCTCTGATTCTTTCAGGAGTGTGGTTAGCTTGTTAGAACAATTCCACAGGCTGGTAGGAAAGTAACTCACTACTTAGGGATAATCAGGATAGTGAGAAGTCTACTTGATAAGAAAGGTTATTGTCTAGAAAAAGACCAAAAGGATTTTACCTTTTGAGGCCCTTCTGACTTTACCAGACTTTAGGGGAGCACTTAACACTGAATGTTAGTATCCCGACTTATACTGGGTGGTGGTGAATTGATTAATTGTCAACTTGAGAGGGAGACACCCAGCTGAATTGAACCAGCATGGTTCTAGGCGTGGAAGACTCACTTTAAGGAGAATTGTTGGCATAAGAGGAGAACAAGAGGGAAGGATTTCAGTTCATCTTCCTCAAAAGGAGGAGGAGCATTGTGGCTGCTTTTCTTCTGAGGAGTTTTGGCGGTTTTTGTTTGAAAGAGCTTTGGCTGTTTCTTTCTTGGGTGCGTTTCAATCCTTGTCTTCATCTTGGACGCTATCTCTTGGCTTCCAGAGCAGATTCCTCAGCTTCCTGGCTCAGATTCCTCAGCTTTTGGGCACAGACACATCAGCTTCCAGCCAGATCCTTCGATCTCCCATCACAGATCCTTTGGCCTCCTGATAAGGACTTGCATGGGACATTGCTGTGGGCTCCAAGCCCTCCACTGGATCCTTTTGGCCCCAGTGTGCAGGCAGACATTTTGCACTCTTCTACATCTGACTTTAGTAAGCATTGACTAATACATACTGCAGGTAGTTGAATAAATTTTCTAGATTTCCTAGCTGATGCCCTTTCAACCTGAATCCTTGAAAGTAAGGAAGAGGGTATGTAATATGGGTACATAACTTCATGATTTATTATCTACATTGACTTCCAAGATAATCAGTGAGAGGAATATATGTGGTCATATAAAGACTCTAGAAATAATTTACATTTCAAATTGATTTAATAGTAATGGTCATTTTTTTTCTTTTGGCAGTATTGGAGAATGAACACAGAGGCTTCAAGCTGAGGTACATCCCCAACCCATTTGTATTTTTTATTTTGAGACGGGATTTTGCTAAATCCCTTAGTTGCCTGGATTGGGCTTGAATTTGTAATCCCCCAGCCTCAGCCTTGCAGAGTGCTGAGATTAGAGGCATGTGCCACCATTCCCAGCTAGTCAATTAATTTTTGATGAAGCTGACGAGAAAATTCGATGGAGAAAGGACAGTCTTTTCACTATCCTTTTTTTTTTTTTTTGGTACCGGGGATTGAACTCAGGTCCTTGCACTTGCCAGGCAGGCAGCAGAACCACTGAGCTAAATCTCTGGTCCAGAACAGTCTTTTCAACAATACCCTTTCCCAAGAAAATTCAATAACTATATGCAAAAGAATGAAGGTGATCCCCTATCTTACATGATATGCAAAAATAAGTCAAAATTTATCAAAGGTATGGATATAAGAGCTAAAAGTATAAATATCTTTAAAGAATACTGTCTTAGGCTGCTATGACAAAAGTAACAGACTGGGTAACTTAAAAAACAAACATTTATTACTCTGTTTTAGAGACTAGAAGTTCATTGTCAAAGGGCTAACAGAGTTGGGTTCTCAGGAGGGCCCTCTTTCTTGTTTTTAGAACCCTTCTTGCTATATCTTCAAATAAAAAAGAACAGAGAGAGGTTACCAATAAGGCCACCAATCTTATCATCACAGTTCCATGATTCTAACTGAATTTACCTCAAATGCTACATCTTCAAATATAATCATATATGGGATTAGCATTAAAACATGAATGGGGAGCACAAATATTCAGTTCATAGAAAATATAAATGTAAAGCCCCGCAACCATGAATTAGGCAATATTTTTAAGCTATGACACAGAGAGTACGAAAAAAATAGATAAATTTGACTTCATCAAAATTAAGAATGTGTACCCCACCCATAAGTGAAAAGATAATTCCAAGAATGGGAGAAAATATATGCAAATTATATATCTTATTAGCTATTAGTAGCATACAACATTTATGTGTTTGCATAAATATATGTTGGTGTATCTGTATAATATAATTTTGAATCAACTCTTGCAATAAAAAGACCAATAACTTGGTTAAAAACAGACAAAAGGCTTGAATAGCTGTTTTTCCAAAAATGATGCACAGAAGTCAATAAACACATAAAATGAATCATTAGGGAAATGCAAATCAAAACCACAATGAAATAGCACTTTACATCCACAGTAATGGCTATATTTAAAAAGATGAAAAACAGCAAGTGCTGGGGAGAAAGAAGAGCATTGGTATATTAACACACTGCTAAGAATGTAAAATGATGCAGCCTCTTTGAATAACAGTTTGGTTATTCCTAAAAAAATTAACATACTCTTTACATATAACCAAGCGTTTCCTATGCCTAACTATATACACAGAAATACTTATAGCAGCATTTTCATAATATTCCCAAAGTGAAAACAACTCAAATATCCAAATCTGATGAGCGGATTAACAGAATGTGGTAAATCCACACAATAAGATATTAGCTCACTATAAAAATAGAAATGAAGCAATGATACAGTCTACAATAGGGAAGAACCTTGAAATAATTATGCTATCTAATAAAGCAAAAAACAAAAGGACACATAACGTATGATTCCATTGACATGAAATATACAGAATAATCAATTCCACAGTAATAGAATTTAGATTAGTGTTTGGCAGAGCTAGGGAAGGACAGTAGTAACGTTTTGGGGGGAGATGATAAAAAACTTCAGAAATTATATTATGGAGATATGTGCATCATTTTTGTGAATACATCAAAAATCAGAGTCATACACTTCAAGATGTGAACTTTATGATACTGAATATAAATTGCATTCCAAAAACTAAATTTTTCTATTACTATACTATGATATAGTAAAATTGAAAAAGTATGTAGTATCACCTCTAATTATTACTTGTTTCATTTAAAGTGTCATATTTTCATTATAATTATATAAATTTGTAGCCTTTTCCAAAGTAACCTGAAATGTAGCATGTGTAAAGCTTTACTGAAAACTCATTATAAACACCTAGTTCATTAGTATTTATTCTGACTAATGCACTTTGATCTTCTTTGATCTGTACTTTATATCTAATGTCACCCCTAAATCTTCATGCCCTCATATGTGGGCATTTTATATCATGGGAGAATGTATTGTATCATGTATCATTGTATCATGGGGGCATAATGCTCATCAGTAGATTTGTACACTGATGAGTTTATAACTGAGATTTGAAGAGGTGAATCCTGGTTGGAGGAGGTGGGTCACAGGGAGCATGGCCTGGAAGGGTATATATATCTCCCTCCTTCCTCCCTTGACCTCTCTGCCTCTCTTTCCTGGTTGGCATGTTGTGAGCAACCTTCTTCTGCCATACCTCTGTGCCATGTTGCCCTGCCTTGGAGCCAACTATAGACTGAAACCTCTACAAACTATGAGCCAAAATAGACCTTTCCTTTAAGTTGTTGGTGTCAGCTATTGGGTCTCAGCTAGGAGAAACTGACTGAGATAACCTCTTTCCCCATGTTTGGATAGTTTCTGGTTATTGCTTTTGCAAATATTTCCCCTACCCAATTTTCTTTCTTTTCTGTTCTAGATTTGAACTACAACATGATATGGATATTTTGATATTTTCCATATAGCTATTGGATTGATTTTGTTTCCTACTCTTTTTTCTCCTTGTATTTAAGTTTGAATAATTTTGATTATTTATCTTCAACTTCACTAATTCTTTTCTTGGCAATATTGACTATATTAATGAGCCTATGGAAGGCATTTCCTACAGAATTACTTTACATAGTTTTATCACTTCATTGATTTCCTTTGTATTCCTTCATGTTGTCCACTTTTTCTATAAGAACATTTAACATAATTATGTTAAATTTTCCATGTTAATTCTAACATTCGTGTCATAAGTGATCACAGTTTTACTATTTGGTACTCCTTGCTCCCCTGTGAACCTGGTAAAGTTTTTGGTTGAAAGATACCTATTAGAACAGCAGAGCTTGAAGTAAATGATGCTTACACCTGGAAATGAGCATACCTTTTCTTTTGTAGGTCTTAGTGTGGGTAACTGACTCAGTCCCCTCAGGATTTAGCTGTGTTGAGGTTACCTTCAGAGCGACACAGACTTCACATTCTTCTAGCTCCACTGTCAAGTAAGAGTTGGTGCTGGGTTAGAGTGGATTTTTCTTTTTTTTCCTGTCAATACAATTTATTAGTATAATTTCTACTTTAAAACCATTATGTACTTAACAATCTCATTACTACAGGTACAGTGAAATGATTTATGCCTATCTCAACCTTGTGTCTTCAATCTATTTGAAAGCAAACATGGTAAGTACTCCTACATAAGATCTGAACAGGCTGTGGGCCTCCACTTGGCCAATGGTTCTTAACATTGGCTGCACTTTGCAATTACTTGGAGACCTTTAGAAATGCAGATGCCCCAGAGATACCCTAGGCCAATTTAATCAGAATCTTTAGGCCTAAGGATTCAGGTACTGGTATTTTTCAGAGCTCCCCTGATGTGGAACCAAGATGGAAAACTGCTATTCTAGGCTGAAGATTTGATCTTAATGAATCCGAGGAGAGAAGAGATAAATTGTGTTTGAAGTTGACATTCTCCATCTTTAATTATTGCCTCCACTTGATGCATCTGAACTCATGATGTAATGGGGATCTCCTCTGTGAGTGGGCTTTGCTTAATGCTTTTGTTCCATCCTAAATTTTAGGCTTTCTTGGTGTGCTTGTGCTCTACTGAGGATTTTCTCTTCATGTACTTTGGCAGTAGTCCTTTGTTAGTTCCTGGTGCTTTCTTTCCTGATGGGGAGAAATATTATCTGTTGTCCTGGATCACTCATGATCTAGGATAAGCCATGAGCCTACGGTTCTCAGGGTTGGGGCTTCTCAGTAACTTTGTTTCTCCAGTGCTAGAAGTTCTCCAGTGAACTAGGCCAGTGGTGGTGAACCATCATTGATTAGACCTGGGGCATTTTCCTGCCTCTTTGCAGGAACAGTGCCTTGTCTCTTCCTCCCTTCCAGCTGTAATGTTGCTCACCTGTGCCCAGAGGGCAGAGTGTTGGGACCAAATGGCTCTACCACCTATAGTTTTCACCACCTCCCATCACTGCCACAAGGCTGATGGTCAAGCCTTTAGCCCACAGACTTTGTGGAACACTAAAGATCCAAACCACAAAGTGCCCATGTCGAATGATAACATTAATTTTCTGGATTTTTTTTTTTTTAGTGTAACTGTTGACTTTCTCTATTTTCATTCCTTTCATGGAGCTCTAGTGCAGACTGTGACCACACAATTCAAATCTGACAGAGATACAACCTGTCCTCATGTTGAAAAAGATGTCTATTAGTCATGAAACGCTTAAGAAGATGGGTTCTAAATCATGGCAGATGAACGAGTCTTTCATGTGCCATATGCCTGTTGAAATAAGTTGAGGATAAATTGTTTACACTGACACTATGTTTAGCTGCTAACTAATCAGTGGACACTAATGTATTTATTTCTCAAATGACTGAGTAGGATTTCTTTACTGGAAAAATTTATGGTAATTTTTGGATTTAGAAACATACAACTTTTATTTATCTTAGCAGTCTGTTGATAACATTTTTTTGATTGGCTTTTTGTTTTTTTTGTTCATTTCACTGGCTTTCCTAGCTAGAATGTAAACTGCAGACATATAGCAGTATTACATTTCTCAAGGCCACCTGGCACAGAATAATTGCTTGATTAATATTTGTGATCCAAGTCATAATTTGTCTAAGCAATGCTTCATCTATTAATGCATTGTTATGTTTAGAAGTCTCATTTTATATGTCAAAATGCTTCTCAAGACAGTTAACTTTATTAGACTTCTATCTTCTTAAATGTTATAGTATTTTTGTTACTATAGCAGCCATTTTCCCTATTATAATTGTGGAGATCTTAGGAGATGATTGATTAAAATTGATTTTTGTTTGCTTCTTCTCTAATCTTTATTCATTCTATTTAACCAGTTTCAGGATTGCTATCTAGTTTTGGGTTTACATAGCTTAACTCTTAGGAGAATTCTGATTTCACTCTCTCCAGTTCAAAAGTATGATTTATTATTAAATAATTTAAAGCATCTCATTATGAGGAATTTACAAGATTCTGATTACTTCACACAGACAAAATTGACTTCCATTAGAATGCTGAAATATAATCATGTGTTCATTAAATTATTTAATGTATCTGCTTTAACAAAAGCTCACTTATTTGAAGTCTTATTATTGACATCACATAAAAACATTTAATCTCTCTTTAAGTTGCATCATTGTATAATTTAAAAACCTACTCTAAAATATGTTACTATAGAGAGGATCAAGTAAGGCTGTTCCCACTGTGCCTGGACAGAGATGTTTGTTCAAATTCCCGAATTTGAATTGGACAAAGACCCAGAACCTAAAGTAACAGAGGAAAGTACAGAACTTCTGGAGCTAAAATCTCTGGTTTGAATTTAAGTTCTGCTACTTAGTAGCCATGTAAATTTAGACAAGACTCTTAATCTAGCAATCACTCAATTTCTTCATCTATAAAATGGAAGGATAATAGTACCAACTTCAAAAGATTGTTATGAGGATTCAATTAGAAACCTATGGAAGGAGTTTGGAAAAATTTTGGGCTCCTGGTAATTACTATATAAATAGTAACTGTTATTCATACAGTTGTAAGAGTCATGTTATGATTTTGCCAGTTACAGCTCCTCAGGGGCTTCCTAACCCCTTTAGGATGCACTGCTTCTGCAGTGCCTTCTGTACCCTCTGCAGTCCTTCATTACCTGTCGCTCACCTACCTCTCAATGCATCATCCACTGTACTCCCTCCGCTTAGGCTCAGCAAAACTCTGAATGTCATGAGTCCTAAGTACAAGCCAGACTACCTGCTATCTCAGAACACTTGCATCTGCTGAGCTGCTCACCTGCTCTTCACACAACTGGCTCTTTTTCATTTCTGTGTCTCAAGTGAAAAATACGTTTTCCGCAGAAAAGATTTTCTCATCTACATTATATATTTACAGGCCCCTCCGATTTTGATTTCTATCACAGAAGTCTTCATGTTTTCTTCCAAGTCCTTGTAAAAATTGTCATTTATCTATAAGTTAATTTATTTAGCTTTATTTCAATATTTTATTTATTAGGTTTTCATCTTATTGTGTCTTCATCAGTAGAATATAAATATCTTAAGGTCAGTGAGCATGAGTTCGATAAATTGTATTAGTCACTTACGTGTCACTGAGATACAATACCTGATTTCCACTACTTAAAGGAGGAGAGGTTTATTGTGCCTCATATTACGGTCTTTGCTTGACTGGTTCCAAAGTACAAGAGCATGGTGGAAGATGTTGGGCAGAAGAAAGCTGGTCATGTAAGGGTAGCCTGGAAGGAAAAAGAGAAGAGAGGAGATGGGGAGGCAAATATGCCCTTAGGTCACAGCTCCAGAGATCTGCTTCTTCCACTCAGACCCCAGCTCCTGACAGGAAGTCAGCCATATTGCTCCGGGGATTCAATTGCCTTCCATGCTTCTGGGCCAGGAGACCTCTGGGGGACATTCTCCATCTCAACCATAACATGTATCATTCTATTTTTAGTGACTGGTCCAGTGTCTGGCAAAAAAGATGATAAATATTTTATCAGCACATACCAAAGCAAATTATAGTAAATAAAATGGATGTAATGATGTGTGTTTCAAGGTTAGAAGAGGTGAAATCTCAGAAGTAAGATACAAAATAGTTACTGTAAGAGAAATAAACAATATACCCATTATTTATAAATATATGTTAGTGCATTGTGTACCTTCAAATTTACCTGGTACTTTTTGAGGCCATCTCAAGACATCTAAAACATAAGACAGTCCATGAAGAATTAGGAATCTAATATAAAAATGTGTAATTAAGAGTCGAGCTTTGAAGTACAGATTCATTAAAGAAAATGAAAATTCCTAGGTTAAGAACTGACTACAGAAAGTTAGTTATGGCTCATGAATGCAACTTGCAATGTACCAGGAGATGGTTCTGTTACTGTAATTTCCACTCATAGACTGAAAGCCCAGGAGAGTAATTATGCTGTGTGCCGTGGCTCTCCCCAACTTGAGGCTACATCTCAGGCACATTAGTATTCCGTCTATGGAATTAGAATGAAGGGGAGAAATGAGTAACACATATTGTTCTTATTTTCTTTAAAGTCTGAATTGTAAGTTTGTCCATCAGAAATAAAATATTTAAAAATTTATAGTTAGCCAGGTGAGACAGCACATGCTTCTAAGTCCACTCATTGAGGAAGCTGAATCAGGAGGATCTCAAGTTCAAGGCCAATGTGGGAAAATTGGCAGATCTTGGTCAAAATAAAAAATAAAAAGGACTATATATGTAGCTCAGTCACAGAACACTTACTTAACATCTTTGAGCCCCTGGGTTCAATTCCAGTGATGAAAAAGTCATATGGTTACAGAAGCTTTTATTAGAAATTATTGCCATGGTAAAGTATGTTATTTAAAAAAAAAAACCTACAAAGTCTATGAAATAAATACTTTGAATATCACATTTTACAAACAGGACACAGATTCTTGGATAGCTATCAAGCTATTAAATTATAACACCTCTGCTGAGACCTAGATTGGCCCAATTCTAGAACCAAAAGTCCTAAATCCTACTTGACTCGGTGTATATAATATTGCTATATGTTGCCAGAGGAGAGAGACAGCTATAAAACTTGTTTGGAACACAGAGCCCACTGGTAACTTCTACTCAAAGATGACTGCTTATTAACTGCAGGTTGGGATTGTCATTATATTTATTAGGGTAGCGATGGAGGTATCAGAGGTAATGATAGGTGGAGCATGATTCTGAGAAAACATTATGGTTTGAGAAGGGCTAGGGCGGTTAGGGTGGGAGGAGAGACCTGTCTCCTGGTGTCTTAAAAAACATCTGTTCTCTTAAATAATCATAGTAAAACCCCTTTGCAGATTTCTAATTTTAAAAACATTATAATTACTTCTCATTTCAATGAATTATTTTTGCACTTTAAATCTCAGTTCTAGTTTTTCAGGTTGAATAGGACATGGTTTAGAAATGCTGAATAAAAAGATTTCCACATTTGAGTGAACAAAGCAATTTATTAATGGAACAAAATGATAGAGAAGAACATTCTCACATGAGCTGTGCTTGTGACATGTAGGTGTCATCCAACTCATTTGTGTTTTATGATGCTAATTTCCCTAAACAAACTCTAGGTCTTGAGAATAATGACTCACGTTTATATATCACCCTCTTGAATTTCTCTGGAAAATTACCTTAAAACAGTGAAGGATTTTCACCCATAAACTAATTCATTTTTTATTGGAAAGTGGCATGAGCAACACAAAAAGAAGACTATGGTCTCTTGTACAACAGCCCACTGTGGGCCACACTAAAAGTGAATCCTATTTTTAATGCCCTTTAATTCACATCTGTGCTCTATCAGAAGAGTGAAGCTATCTTCATCCACAGAAAATAAAGTATGACTTAGCTGTAGACAGCCTAGCTCTCTGACCTGCAATAGAGATTCCTTTTTGCAGCCGTGACTATCTTGGTGGCCTGGTGAAAACTACTCTGGCATTGGTTTTTCTATGTTGACTTTTTTCTCTTTTGATACCATCTCATTCCTTTTGCCATTAATTGAAAAGTAGTAGTGAACAAAAGAGTTGATTAAAATGCACATAGTGATCATTAGTTTCCTTATATTGTGGGTATAACTAACTCCTAATATGATGCTGAATTATAACAATTCTGAGAACCATAAGAGCATTTCATTTTGCAAAGGTCTCTATTCTCCTGTTAAAGATGCCCTAAAGCATTTAGTTTTTAGTCTGAAATTCCTGATAATATCTGCTCTTAATTCCAGGTAGATTCTTTGTGTGTAATTACTTGTATGTGTATGTGTGTAATTACTGGAATGTAACTACTTGTGTATATAAGCACATACACATATGTGTGTACAAGTTTATGCATTTATGGATAAAACTTGTAAAGCAAGAAATAGTTCAATACTTTTGAAAGGCTAATAAAAGGAAAAACTCTAACTTTTTATATTTGTCATCTAATATCTTAAAATGTGTTGAAGTATTTTTCTATAACAAATTTAAAAAGAGAAAATACAGACTTCTTAAAAACCTCTTTGAGAACTAAATATTTACTGTAATTAGAATGATGGACATTAAGTAACATTCAAAAATACTTGCAGATCCTAAATGGTAGATTCTCTATCTAAATTCTGTGGCAAACTAATATGAGTATCTTCTCCAAGAAAAAGGTAAGATACATATCTTGTTTCCAAATAATGTAGATATATTATTTGCTGTTTGTGTATATAATGTAAAATATGTATTTTCTCCCTGTCTGTCTTGATTTTTTAAATCTGCTTATAAGAGAAAGCTTTTGCCTCTTCCTTGAACCACACACTCATTTTTAGTCCCAGAACTAAGAACTCTGACTTTAAATGCTACAAATCACAGCTCCACTTCAGCTGTTCTAGTTAAAACAAGGAATGGAAAATCTATTGGAAATCTTCACCTTGATGTCACTGAGTCAGAAACCGTTTTTACATATTCAAAACATGACTCATCATTCCACCCCTCCTGCCTGATATAAAAATCTCTCACTTGATTAATGCCATTTCCCTTGTCCCCATTTTCTAAGCTAAAATCTTCAGGACCATTTCTATTGCCTCATCTTCCATTTTTGACAGGCCCCATCAGTTACTTTTATTTTGATTTCCTCTAAAACCCTAAGTTTCCTCTTTTCTCCATGCCAAGTAAAGTTATTATAGTGTAGGCTCTGTATTTGTTAGTTACTAGAGAAGCTTTGGTTAAACAGACCTCATATGCAGGGAAGTCTGGTGGTCCCGAGTAAGTGAATCTCTTCTTCCCAGTTTCTTTCTGTGTTGGTGTATATTTGCCATCTCTCTGATCAGAGTGGGTTTGCACATAATGTCTATGTTCCAGCTTGTACTACAGAAAAAGGCAGGTGAAGAAAATTGGGCGCTGTAGATCACTTCTTTGTACTTCACTAGAATTTGTTCACCTACCTCAAACTAAACATGGATTATGACAGTATATGCAATCTCTAGCTGGATTGTATGTGTGTGTGCCACAAGTACTTATTCTTTTAACCTGGTTGTACTGAGGACTACTCTGTGTTAAGCCTGTTCACAATGTCAAGAAATCAGTGGTGAACAAAACAGAGTCTTGTCTCTCATGATACTTTCTATTTGGGGAAGGCTGACAATACACAAATATAGCAAACAAACTTGGAAGCAATTGTTTGGAACAGGAATTTTTCTTTTATAAAAAAGGAAAACAACCATGACATCCTTCTACTCAACTGTCTAGACCTGTCATAAACACTAGAATCAAAAATTAAAATAATAGAATCAAAAGTGTTAAAATTGACCATGAAAATATAAAGATGTTTTGAATATGTAAAATTATGATTTTGATGCAATAAGCTTTAGAATTCTGTGGTACATGTGTTTATTCTTATTTTATCGGATAGAGTGCAGAGAGAAAAATGTTCTTACCTTGATGAAGTGCAGGCCAGAGTCCATAGATCTAGTAAATATCCCATGTGTTGCCAAGCTTAGAACTCCTCAGGGGAAGGCGAGTTGAGAAAATGGCATGTTTATTCATTTGCTATTCTTATGTGGCACTACAGACTGTGTTGAAACTGTAGGAGGTGAGACAGATTCCAGTGTAAACACTGTTACTGAATACAGTAATCCTGCCTAGTGGGAGGGGAAGTGTTCGCTGAGGCAGTAGCCACCGAACTATAACATGAAACATTAGAGTTTGATTTTCCTTTGATTTCCTGTGTAAAATAAATACACAAAAAAGGGATTTAATAGGATGAAATATAGGAATTAAATATCTTGAGATGAGGTTCTTAGTTTTACATGGATTTTATTTGGCTCTTATTTTCTACCAAATGATCTTCACTTCAGGGTCAAAGTAACATCTCAAAGCGTAACACACCTGCACCATATGTCTTTCCAACTCACCTCCATGCTACCCTCTACACTCTGTTTTTACTTCAGGGGTTAAACAGGGTTTATATCATCTGTTTAGAATGTACTGATTAAATCGTGCCAAAAGAAATTTTTAAAAAGTGTAAGAACGTGTGCTATTTTTCATATACTGTGCAGAAGTCAGAGAAAAGAATCAACTTTGCTCATAACTAGAAGTTCATTTAGTTTTCTATATATTGTTAAAATTACACACTTTTCTCCTTTTTTCAATGGATCTCTTATAGTTTCAATCAGCTTACTCAGATATGTACCTCTTATTGATAAATACTTAGAGATTAAAAGACACATGCAGAAGAGCTTCATCAAATCCATTTATAATGCCTTAAATTATTAACCAAAACTAAAAGAATCTAAAGACAGAGACTAAAGAACACATTTCCCTCCAAAGAAGACATTGTAATCCATTTAAAAGAATAAACATATCCTTGGTTTCCTTTCCTGAAATTTACATTTGACCTTACCAATCTATGATAGTATTTTTAAATTTCATTAATTCTCTCTTCTCAGGGAAAATTGAATTTAGTACAATTTATTTCATCTACACTAAAAAAATTATCATATTTTTATCCCTGCAAAGTGCAGGGATGAGAGAAGAAAGGATGTATTTTTTCCCATATATTTTGAAGGAATATCTATGCCAACACCCCAACATGGTTTTTGTCCATAAGTTTGTCTTTGGAATAGTCTTCAGCATCTAAATGTTCACCAACAAAATTCTGATGGATTCTAAAACATTCAGGTATTATATAAAGTCTGAAAACATCCTCCTGGATTCAGGAATACAGGGTTTGAAAATTTATGAAGAACCAATTTATATAAACAGAGTTCCTAAATATCAGCTCAATGGGTAGTGTTTGTCCAAGAGCCAGGTACACTTTTCATTCTACTAAATATCTTTCCACTTTTCCTATTGTTCCTATCTTCATCTGAAAGAAGATTTGCAGAAAAATCTAGAAGGTATGATGGTCCAAGCATGAAACACATGTTCACATGTTACTGTAAATATGCGTATTTAAAAATTCAACCATCTATATTTTATTAAATGTTCTATATAAACATATAATCTTAGATTCACTTATCTATTCAAGAACTTTTAATGGAGCAGCTAGTTGCTGTACTATGTGCTTCAAGTTCAGTACTGAACAAACCTGAAATCCCTCATGCTTTCAAGAGATTATACGGAAGTTGGACTGCTGAAAGGGAGGTTTCCATGAACATGCAGACTATGACTTCAACATATGACAGAAAGGAATAAATGCAGTCACATGGATTAAATTCCCAATTTAGTAATGTATAAGCACAATTACCATGGAAAGGTATTAAAAAACAGGTTGAGAATAATTGGTGAAGAGTTAGTAGGATACTAGGTAAGGTGAACTGTTTGGTACAACAGAAGATTTGGTTAGAGATTAGGTTTTATATTAGGGGTTAGTGCAAGTCTAGCCAGGCTAGTGACTAATAGAAACACATTTTATACAGATCAAAAAATATTAAATAATAGCAGATGTAGAACTATATAATAGAACAATATCTATAAAACCAGATTAGAAAACATAACAATTAATCTTAAAAGGAAAAATGATTTGATGAAAAATGGACAAGCAATTAAGTAGTTTTAGTGTAGTTTCTCTATCTTATGTTTATATATAAATATGTATAAATATGAAATATTGTTTCATATGAGTTTACAATGTATACAAATTGTATTATTTTAGACATATTCTACATCTTGCTTTGTACATTCCACATTAAGTTTTTAACATCTACTAATGTAGACACTAGATCTGGATTATAATTGTAACCAATGAAAATATTTACATTCTGCTTGTTCCTTTCTTATGAATGCAGACTATTTATAACTTTCAATTAATAATATTTAAAGTAATCAGACAGTAAAATCTTCTAAATAATTATAGGTAGGATCTTTCCAAGATATTTATTAAAGTTTTGGGTTGAGAGTATAGACACTCAAATTTTGCTAATTATTCCAAAGTGCTTTTCACAGTTGCTCAGCCAATTTATATTCTCAGAAGCATTTATGGGAATTCCAATTTCCTTGGGTTTTCACCATTGCTGAACACCTATCATTTTTTTTCTGACTAATATTGTCAAGTGCCCTGCTCAAGCAATAGTAAAGCCCTCTTGGATCATGGCCACAGAGGCCTCTGAGAGCCTCGGTAGCTGAGTATTGTGAAAAGAATACTGGGAAACCAATTATTAGGTGACCTTTCTCATTCATGGTGACTGGGTGATCTTTTCTCAAGTGAAAAGTGGAACCTTGCTGCTTCCCTCCAGCCATCTTTCCTACCATCCTCATGCAAATTATCTGGCTTCTTTCTAATCCTATCCTTTTCCCTGACCACAGTCTCCATGGCCCCAACTTTACGGCGTATCTTTTCTGGTCATGCTGGAAATTTTTCAAATCATTTTCCTTGAACTTTTGCTCCAGCTTTTTTTTTTTTTTTCATTGTAGTTCTGGCTAACATCAACCAGCAGCATACATGCCACTGCCTGAATGATGGATTTCCTAGAAGTTTTATCTTTCAGATTAATTAGTCTACTATGTCTTCAGACATGAGAAAAATGCAGGTGAATTTTCTGCCAGAGTAACACAGATGGTTTCTAGTCCAACTGCCAGTGGAGTCCTTGTTCTCAAGAGAGCCTGGCCTTTAATGTCTGAATTCTCTTCAACATACTGTTTTGCTTAGCTCTAATGAGAATTATCCATCAGGTTCTGCTTAAAGCAGTCTCATGCATCTCTAGAGAGTTTTCAATTCTTTTCAAACTCTTACCCAGTCCTCCAGGCCATATCCAGTCTCTTAAATCAAATGGTCAGTTACAGCCTAAGCAATAACTTCACTCTTGGTATCAAAATTTGTATTAGTTATGGTTCTCCATAGGAGTTGAATCAGTACAAAATATATGTATAATTTTGAAGAGGATTTATTAGATAGGCTTATAGGATCAGAAGTGGGAGAGTATGCAAGACTCCCTGTGGGATCAGAAGCATGAGAATCCATAAAGGACATCTGCATGCTAGAGAGCTGGAGGTTCCATTAGCTACTAGGTCCAAGAAGATGGAAGTCACAGAACAAGGGCAATTGAGTGTGTAGCACCAACAGGCCTGAAAGCTCACTGTAGAGGCACCAGGGCTCATCTACATCGGAAGGCCAAAGAAACTAGAGATCTATGTACAAAGGCAAAGGTGAAGAATTGAGTACTTCTAAAATGGGAATACCTCCTCCTTTCCCTTTTTCATTTCATACAGGCTAGGGCCTATCAGTTGGTGTCACACACATCCAGAGTGTGTCTTCTTCCCTTTATTTTCCTGGCCTGCCTGTCAGTCATCCAAAGACACAACCAGAATTGCACACTATTAATCTGTTAGGTGTTTCTTAATCCATTTTAGTTGGCATATCATAATTAACAACCACAAGTAATTTTTATATTTTTAGCATTTTGGTTCTTAATGAAGTCAAGCATCTTCCTATTTATTACTCATTCAGTTTTCATTTTTCCCTTTCTGAACTATTTCAACCTTTAACCATCTTTTATTGAAAGGTCACAATTTTGAGATTTATAAACATGGGTTGAAAATCTGAGCATTACAAATTTGTAATAAAACATTATATAAGATTATGTATAGTATGTAATTTATACACTAAATAATGGATATATAGAGATATTCATAAGTATATATCTATCTATGTATTATATACATATGTATATACATTTGTATAAATACACAATTTTAGTAGAATAACTGAACAATTTGCCATTGGCTTAATTTGTCATATCCACACACTGTTATCTGTTATTTTCCAGGGCTTAGTTAAAATAGCATAGTTAGTTTTCATGCTATTATTCACTCTGTGTCTTTTGAATTATTCCCAGGGGGTGAGCTGTCAAATGAATATTTCTCATGGCTAAATTTATATTAGGACAAGTGTCCTGAGCCTTCTTTTGACATATTCACCTTGAGACTATATCTGTTTTATGTGAATATTCCCTCAGACATGACAAATACTCTTAGGAGCTCCCTAAAGACAGCTTGGTTTAATATCATATTCTTTTTCCCTAGTCTCTCTATGTTCTGATATTGGTGAGGAGCATACTCTTGCTAAGTTTCTCATGGCCTAGTCAGCATTTGTGAATCTAAAATTATTTCTAAATGTGTAATGTGTAAATTTACTCTTTGCCATGATACATAAAACTTCACAATGGAGTCCTTTTTACATAGTAGGGTGAATTTTCCCTCCACAGTACTTGATGTATTTAGACATTTGAGAGAAAATAATTCAAATTTTAAAATTACAAATCTACATAAATCTCATGGAAACAATTAATGCCAAAATTAACTGAATGTATCCCAAGAATCACAATTACTATGCAAATTTTGCAAGACAATTAAATACTCATTATTTTCCAATATAATAAGAATGTACAGCAAATCAAACTGTACTGCAAATATGAAATCTAGGAACCTAAAATAATTTAAATTTATGCTGGACTATTGAATAGTTGTTATGATTTTATGAGATATTCTCCCATGAGGTGACTAATGCAGCTGCCATAAATAGAATGAGGTCTCAAATTGAAATTTTAAATTCTTTTTTTCTTTTGGTACCAGGGATCGAACTCAGGTCCTTGCGCTTGTGCAGCAGGCAGCAAAAACACTGAGCTAAATCCCCAGCCCCTTGAAATTTTAAATTCTATATGGAGAAGAGAATCCTT